TGTCAGTGTCAATCTCTAGATGATGCCACTCAGTTTTAATGACACTCAAATGTGTGGGCGGAAGTGAAGTGTGAGGAATCTCATTACCAAAGCATCTCGCTTCATAATGTTCTCTGAATAGAGATATTCTTCCCTTTCCATGTGTGATACCAGGAAATGGTTATTAGCTTCTTTGACAGCCGTCATCAACTCTATATATCCCATTAATGTCTTTAACAATGAACAGTGAAGAATTCAATAACAACTGGATTAGCTGGTAGCAAGTACTGTAATTGCTCATTTGTTTGATAGAGCATTGATTTGACAACACCAAAGCTTCTCTCCTTTAATAATGAAAGCACACTCTTTCATCTGGCAACCACGCAGCTATGCCTCAATATCTAGTAAGTTGTCTTGACAGGAAATATTTTCATTAAGTCATCAAGTGTGCGTCCCTGACACAAAGGCTACCTCAATACTTAGATACTTTAAATATACTATCTAGGTTTATTTTGGCCAAATTATGGGGCAAAATTATATTTACCTTTAATTTTTTAAATTTTATAATGGCATATTTATAACATGGAGTGCTGAGGGGGATGTAGCACCCCCAGATTTCAGGATTGCTAAACTGTAACTGCTAATAATTATTTAAAATAATCAAAAAATAAAAATGAATAAAGAAAAAAATGAACTTCTTGTTTAAGGGTGGAGTTTGAATTTTTATGTTTTATTTATCAAAATTGCAGTCGCCATGCAGTGTTAATGCAAGTGCAAGTTAATGCAGCAATTTCATTACAGTGGGTCACTTTCCTGGCCATCTGTTGGCTGCTCTGGGTACGTGACACTAAAACACAAGCAATATTAAAGGCCTAATATAAAAAATCATCTAACATTACCGTGTCCCATGTTTTGAACATATGAGTTTTGTTTTCAACCATTATTCTGCCCACAAGGCATGGAGTGTTAAATCTCCATGTGAGGTCTGGTTACGTTACAGCATCACATATCAATCGTTATTGATGCTCAGCTCATTTGCTCATTTATTCAGGGCAGAAAGTGTGCAGAGTGAGCAGCGGTTTGATTGTCAGTTATATGTACATGCATCTTTCCACCAAACTGGTAGAACTCATGATAAACTTCACTTTAAAATAATCTTTAAAAAATACGAAACAATTCAAGTATTATTTTCACAAGTTGAAATTTACGGCCTTCCGCCCAATGACTGCTGGGATAGGCTCGAGCTTCCCCCGTGACCCAGAAGGATAAGCGGCTTAGTGTGTGTTTGTCTGTGTGTGTAAAATTTACGGGTTACAGTTTGGTACAACCACCTAGCAATAGAAAGTACCGGATAAATGATGAGTTTGTAGATATTTAGCTTATTACTATCTCAACTGATGCCTTGGCTTTAAATACATCATAGTGTAATCCTTGTAAATATCTAAAGTCTATGTACTTAATTTTTCATTTTTTATCAACTGCAATTTGAACTAATTTGGTAGAATCCATATACTGTTGTCTCTCACCACATTACAGAACATTATGGCACATTTAGTTTGCTTGAAACTATCCAAAAAACAACTCAATGAAGAAAACAATTGCTATATAATTTTTGCTGCTTAAAATTTCGATACCCCAACTTAAAACACATTCTCACGTCCCTGTATAAGGCAGTCCCACAGGGCTAAAGCTTTCTTAACCCTCTGGGGTCCACAAACTTGCCCACATGTCAAATTTAAAGTTTGTAGATGTGTATAGATCTTTGCCATAATACAGTGAAGAAATACAGTTCAAACATTTCCTGAGTCTGTACAATCTGCACTTTCCATTCTTATCTTCTTATTACTCACATCTGGAGTTATGAGGCAATGAAGAGGGGTTGAGATACACATCATATGCCTCTAACCATGTGTCACAGGGGGATTCATGTGTCTGCATACATTTTGTGTGAAACTGACCAATGGACACTCAGGATATCACTAAGGACTTACCCATCACGTCCGAAACCCTTTATTCTTCATTCAGACAACACAGCACACAAAAAGGTTAACAGCCGCTAAAGTTGCTGCAGCAGTTTTGGAAAGAGCCACCAACAACGAAGATAACAGAACATTTTGATATGAAACATGTGGGGATCAAGTCATCATGCAAGTGTCTTTAAAGGTGAATATAAGAAGAGATGCAAAATTTGAGCTTTTTTTTTTTCTTGAAAAACTTCATCTAAGATGGTGCAGCAAGCAGTGAAGCAGCAAATAACGTATTCTTCAAATGTATCATCATGTTTTGTCATAGCCAAGCACAATTATCATTTTCTTTGCTATTTTAGCTATGTTAATGATCACTGACATAGTTTTTGTAAAGAATTCATAGATGAGCATGCTAGCTAGTTCTCTCATTTCAGGCTATTGTATCAAATGGCTAACCAGCCTGCTAGTGCTCATTATTGCAATCATGTTGTTAAACAATCTCAGCAAGTGACAGCGTACAGGTGGTGGAACTACTGGTGATGTAGCTGCTGTTAACTAGACTGTCTCAAGCTGTTTAATAAGGCCTCAGTTCAAATGGTGCTCACACTGCACAAAATGGTATCTTTGCAAGTAAAATTATCTTGAATCTAGTAAATATATCTACTATTTCTCATTTTGAGATTGTTGTAAGCTTAGTTTAAGATTATTTAATATGTTTCTAGATATTTTACTTGTTTTAACTGACTTTATTGGCAGATACAGGAAGATTCACTCGAAAGAGGCCTCGAATATTCTGTAATAAATCTTGCTAGGACGAAGCAATCTGAACAAAACAACATGCAATGTGCTCTTCAGTACGAACAAGCCGGGATGCCCCTGCGTCGGAGCGATGAGGTAGGTGCCGGACAGCCGTCGCAACGTTTAACCTCCGTTTGCAACTTCCAGGTGCATACCCCCGTACCCCTTCACGTGTCTGGTAGAAAAGATCACTTCCAGCATTGCATGTAATACAATTGATTACACATACGTCAAGGTATGTAGCATATTTTTTTGGTTCAGATTGCTTCATCCTAACAGGAGTTACAACAGAATCTTCGGGGCCTCTTTCGAGTGAATCTCCCTGTAATTTTGCTTGTTTCGAGTGTACTTAAGACAACAAGTAAAATTATCTGCCAACACAGAGAGACAATTTAAGGACTAGATATACTGACTAGGTTTAAGATAATTTCACTTGCCAAGATACCTTTTTTTGCAGTGTAGACAGTCGCCTGTCTAGGTAGGCAGTTCACGATTGAGATCATGGTGTGATCAAATGAAGTGCTATGACAAGATTCATCATATCCTTAATCCATGCTTACTTTACACGTAGAGATGTGGAGGAGATAAAGCAGTTATTGTCTGCCTGTAAAACCAGAGCTCTTCACATTCAGTGTGCAGGGTGTATCCTCCTTTAAGACTGACGCTTCTGATTAGACACCTAATCCACACCTCTGATATCTTATTTACAGTGTCCAGTATGGTTCCGTGCTCTAAAGGGATAACATCTTCATCAAATCAGCTTTGCTATGCTAACAAAACCTCTCTCTCTAGCTTCTTACTTTCTTTCTTGGTTCTCTCTTCCTTTCTTTTATGCTTCGCCCCAAAGCTCCAAATTTCCCAGCCTAAGGAAATCTTCCACAGCGTGAGCTGACAGTGTTCCATGGGGAGTCTTTGGCACTTGGTAATGATTGGCTGCGTGTAGCGTGTCAGCCACCCAGCGCACCAGCGATCAATAATTCACAATGAGTCCATGTTTTTTCCCCTCCCTTGCAGTGCGAAGAAACGGTTCCGTCATGCTGTTTATTACCCTCAGTGAGCCTTAGCTGGAACAACTAGAGTGTTCGAAAAACTAAAGTATAAAACTGACCACCGTGAAGAGACAAGCATGCCATACAGTTAGAGCAAGCAGCCATCTTGGGACAGCCAGAGTTAGCTGTCTGACCTAGTTAGCATATGAACACCCGCAAGCACAGTCCATGCCACTCCTCCTCCTGCCTAGCCAGACACTGAAAAGCCAGGCAGTAGCAGGACCAATAAAGAACTGAATAAAAACAGGCTTGTCTTAAAATAACACATAGCTTTCTTACCTTTTTCCCCTTAAGATCACGGGATCATTGTTAATTGGATAGAATCTTAATTTGACATTGTTGCATAGAGTAAGCTGTGTGGTAATATTTACAAATACAAGAATGTATCTGTATAAATATTGTTTATAAAAATGTTTTCCACACTAGATTAAGGTAGTACAGAACATAGTTACACAGGACAGAGAAGAATCTGTGGCACATCATAGAGTTAAAGGGGCATCCCGGCCTAAAACTCATTTAATGTGTTGTTTGTTACATTATGTAATATTACGAGTTTGACAGAATTTTGTATTCTTTTGTTTTTTTTTTCGTCCACCAAAGGTTCTCTCACTACAATACACAGCATGCCCTGCAATAAAGAAATTCTGACTGCTGGCACAGCCACTGATGTAAAGACAGCTCATTAGCAGTGATGTTAGCTTAGCTTTTCTGTATATATATATATATATATATATATATATGTATATATATTTCAAATAGCCCACCCTCAAGTAGCTGTATTTTCTCAAAAGTTCTTCCCACCTTCAAGATGCATCATCAGAGTGGGGTTTTCCCTAATCTTTAATCTGGAAAATATAATTTTAGAAACTTTGTGGCGCCACTGTAGGAGGTGAGCAGGCATTTTTACAAGAGATGAACCAATGGTTACATTTTCCATTTTGCACAGAGTGCTCCTTTAAGTTTACATTTTGGATATAACAGCTCAAGAACGCTCCTCGTCTTTAATTGATTGTAATATTAGCCTGAAATTGATCTCAGACTATAACTTTTACACATTTTCCAGTAGTGCCTTCTGTAGTATCCTGACCCCAGAGTGCAGCCAAAATACAAACTTTATACTCATGTGTAATATAATACTTCATATTTCATAGTTCCTTCATATCTGCACCGCGTGTTAAACACATGGGATACACATGGTAACACTTACCCCCCTGATGCACAGGCCCCTGGAGGCTGGGGCCCTACAGGTGTTTGGGGCCCTCCAGGGGTTGGGGGTACAGGCCTAGGCCAGGGCTTTCCTGCAGGTAGGCCCACCCGCACAACCCCAACGTACTCCACAAAGGTGCCCGGGAAGTCGCCCTTCTCCTTGGTGCGCTCATTAGTGCCATGGAGCCAGCCCTTGGGGTTTTTCTCATCACCCTCCTGGTAGTCTGGTGTTACAAGTGCTAATTTGCTGACGGTGAGGAGGTCTCCAGGTTGCAGAGAGATGTCATCTCCCCTTTCCCGCTTGTACTCAAACAGTGCACGGTACTGAAAACTGTCCGAGCTCATGGTGTACACTTTACATGAGCTTTTAAGTTCTTTTTTTCTGGATTAAGATTTTTTTTATTCAAAAAGATAAAAAACTCTTCTGCACTCCTAAATTAGTAAAGTCCTTGCAGCACGTCCTGAGAAGTGAGGAAAATCTGGATTAATTCCTTGCAGTTGTTACAAGTCCATTATGCTGGGTGGGGGCCAATACTGCATACTTTCTGAATTCATCCAATAGACACTTGCAGTCTGTGGTGATACACGCAGGAATTTGGATGACACTAAGAACGCAGAACACAGTAAAAGCCCCAGTCCCATCAAAAGAGGGAGCAGAGGAAGGGAGTGGGGGAACAAGGGTGGAAGCGCAGATTTGGGGGCAGAGTGACCCGCAGTGTGGGTGTTCGTAAGTCCTGCAGAGCTGGCAAAAGCCCCCAGATGGTAAAGCAACATTTATTAAATTATCCTCTCAGGCTGGTTTCAGATGTGCTCACAGACAGTCAGCCATGAGCAGTCCCCATCCATCAATCCCCACACTTAGTGCACTTCACTTGGTGGTCCAAAAGATTTATACTGACACCTGAAAGTTCATTATTTTCAAAGTTATTATAATGCACCTCAGCAGATTAATTCAAATTCATTTGTCTTCATTATGCAAGCATTTTTTGTATGTCCTTCATTATGCAATATTTTGGGCTGCATAGTAGGCGACTTCTGCACTGGAATGAAAAGACCTGCATTGCATGGGAGCAATTTTAAGATCTTCTGTCGACCTGGCTTACACGAGCTGATTATTTCAAGCACAAACAGACAGGCAGAGCACTAAAACGAAAAGCCTGGTATGATGCTTTACTTGAGAGAGCGTGACTGGGCGAGAGGGAACTTGAGCATGCAGAGAAACTCGACTCGTCTAAGTGGAATCGGGGGGAAAACTTACCTTCTTTCTCGCGCGTCAAAACTGTCCCGGCCGCAAACGAAACGCAAATGAATCCAAGGGAGGCGAAAACGAGCGGGACCGTGGGGTCAGTTTAAAGAGAGCACGCGTTTAGTTTGGCTCAATAAGTCTGCGTGGCTGAGTCAGGCTCAGACGTGCAACCAGCGTTATTTTTCCCACCCGAATTCCGACAGGTTCCGCCTCCTGAGTTTGGATTGGCTGAGCAGAACGCGCCTCCTGTGTTGCTATTGGCTGTTTTTCGTGCTTTCGAGCAGTCCTCGCGCTCCGATAGGTGGAATACTAGCCAATATGAAGGAGCAGCCTATCCGAGCGCAGGAGACGAGGTTCTGTCGAAGTACGGGTGGGGAAAAAAACAGCCAGCCTAATGCTGTAGTACAGTTGTGCATGTGACGTCATTTAACCACGCCCCCGTCGTCTAGAGCAGGAGTCAAGTTAGACACTTCAGGCGGACGTAAAGAAGGATTGGAGTGGATCAGTTTACTGCCATTATAACTGCTTTAGCAATTCCTACGTCGTTTGTAGTCATTTATACATACAGTGTTTTACCGTTTAACTTTTCTAGCACTTTCCTTTTTGCTATAATGCAGCATGTGTTAACGGCCAGCAGTTCCCTGCAGCTAAACATGATTTAAAGGACCCTCTTCTAATTTTTTCTTCTAGTGTATTATCTTTGCCTATGATTATCTCGTTATGAAGTTTGTGACTTTATGTACAAAAAACAGTCACTATACATTTTACATCACCATCTTCCATCCTAAAATTAAATACACTGTTTTTATTTATTCATTTATTTAGTGTTACCTCTGTTCTGATTGGCTGTTTTGTGCAGCATCCAGGCTGAAACACTCCTTATAGCGTCAGTGTGAACGGGCGGGGCTAAACTGCTGCTAAACTGAATAGGCAGGTATATGTAAATATGTTGGCTTTTATGACATCACAAAAACTACGGGCTGTTTTGCTTAATTTCCGTATATGGACTGTGTGAAAAACTTTAACAATGTTTACATACCACATCAAACTCTGTTATTTAAAAAAGCATATTCAGTTTTCCATAATATGGATCACTTCACAAATTAACCCCAAGGTAATACTCTAAATAATATCTCTGTATCAGTATAGTGTCAGAGTATGAGCATTTTAAGGCAATTAAAGTAAACAGTGAGGTACATATGGGGCAAATATCCCCTTTAGATGCTTTTGAAACATCTGGGAACGCTGCACTTGAATAACATTATTTATGCGTAAGTTACCCAGAATAATTCATCACATGTATTGATTTCTGTAAATAAGTATGGAACATATAGGCCTACTTTTCATTCATTTTTTTTCTGAGCTGATAGGCAGTTACTATGTTTATGTCTATGAGCTCAAGAACTACAAAACACGATTAATTCAAATGTAGCCCTATGTGTTCTCTATTCCTTGAGAGAAGAAAATGCATGTGATGTATTATTCTGTGTGTTTACCAAATAAATAGCAGGGTAGTGATAAAATATTTATATGAAATGCTCAATCATACCGAGATGCACGCTCAAATAAATAAATAAAACATGCCTCTTTAGTTTGTGTTTAGCTGTTCTGTAATAGACTTGTAGATGCCCATTCAAATAAATCAGGTTGTTCTTTCCTCATATGCCGTCCTCACCTAGAGCACCTAGGCCTGTATAATTATACTATTTGACTCTTTTGAGCCCATCATCACAGCATCAGAGCATCACTTATCACTGTCATCTACCTCAGGGCTTTTGATTTTAGTTGTTATTAGACATCGATTAATTGTACTTTCATAAGTTGCAAGACTAAAGTGTGTTAGCCTGGATGCAGTAGTACTGCTGTCACCAGCATCAAGTTCATATGCAAATGCAAAGTGACAGACATCAATGCTCTGCGCTGAAAGATGGATAAGATGTAATCAAGATAAAACACCTTGTCAGACATAGGTCTTCACACATAATCTGCTCCATATGTGTTCATGTCTGCTGAGACAGTTTATAAGCAAATGCTCCATCAATGGCAAAAGCTTGTGAGAATAAAAGGAAAAAGATGAGAAATAACATCACATGCCCCCTTGACACTAAACGCTAAGCCATTTCTCAAATGAACCTGAAGAACATGCAGCTGGGTTCTTCTCCAAGCCATAATGACATATTACGCATAAAGACAGACACATTGTTTAGTTTTGCTTTTAGCATTCATGCATGGATAGAGCTTTGTACCATCCATGTGGCCTGAGACGTCTCCTGTACACAGATCTAAGTGAAATGTGTCTTCACTCACTGTTGGAGTCAGCCAAGCTGAGAGAGTAACGCATGCTTTCATTCAACGCTCTAGTTGCGGTGCAGGCAGAAAGAAAGCAGAGCCCTTACTCTATGCACGTTTGCTCTGTAATATTGTGTAAAGTTCAAATGGAGAGAGAGACAAATTGAGGAAAATGATTTTATAATGTCTTGTAATATAAAATCTTTATAAGATAAAATACAAAAGAGACCTTGAAGTTGAAAGGACTTTTCTTACGTCCTCCTGACGTACTATGTGCTCTTAAAAATGAAGGTGCCAAAAAGGTTTCCAAGGAGCACTGCCATAGAAGCAGGGGTGAATCATTCAAGAAAGCTTGTGCCTCATTTGGAAATGAGGCCTTTTGTAAAAAAGAGTTTAAGGAACCCTTTGCATCAAGGATGCTCCATCCTGGTCCTGGAGACCTGCCACTGTGGAGAGTTCAGAACCAAAACACTTGGCTCTAATATTCAAAGGCTCCTGAAGACCTTCATTACCTGGACCTATACATTTACATGATGTACAGTTTCGCTAACAGTTCCCCTCCACAACCACCATCGCACTTAAACGTTTTGTATGTCCACATCCTAAGACTTATTATTCCATATCCACATAGAAAACAATGGAACATGATTGACTTATTGTTGAGTTACAGAAGTGGAAGATGGATGTCTTGACCTGCTGGCTGGTCCATGAATGAGAATGATTGAGAAGAGTAAAATAAAAATGAAAGACGATCTAGATGTGTGGTGAGCTTTTCCCCCCTTTGATGCTACTACAACCTACCACTCTCCAGATTAAGCCCTGATGTATGCTAGCTCTTGCACTGAGGTACGACTGACTCACTCTGGACTGCTGAAGAGCCTGAGGGGGCAGGTAAGAGATCAGCAATAATCCTCTGTTTGAAACGAGATTCAAAGCAGAGCACGTCAGCTTCAGAAACTGTTCAAAGCTTCTGTGCCAGCTATGCCGCACACAGATTCGCTCTCAGTGTTTTGCACAGCCCCCCTCCTCCAGCCTCTGCGGTGTGCATCAAAGCTAGAGAAGCTCCTCATCCTCCAACACACAGGGCCAAGAGCACACAGAGCGCCAGATGTATTGGGGAACACATCTGCTTACAGCTGCCGGCAAAGAGCACGCTCCAGCCCTTTTTTTAATTAGCCCAGTACTGAATCTGGATCAACATGGAATGGACAGGATAGCAGGCAGGGCAGCACAACCCCCTACCCATGCACTTTCAATTAGGCTTCTAGATGATGCTTATCTGCGGAACTACTGTGTCATATTCGATCACAATTTTTTATATGTGAATTCTGTCATAGGGCGTAGTTAACCTATATACGGCAGTGCCATATCCTATAGAAATATCTGTTTTCACAATCCTATTAGAACGTACACAGACATGGCAGTCCTCAGGGTGGATGCTGATGTTTACACGCTTTCATTTATTGCTCCCCCTCCAGCTGACGTCTGGAAGATGAGTTCCACCCACCAGAGGTCAAGAGCTCGTCTGAGGGCCTGGTGCTTCTAGCTAATAAAATATGTTCTTATTGTAATTGTATGGGTGGTACCAAGCTAGGGATGAACTACACACTTTGCAAAGCAAATAATGATACAGCAAAACTGTCTGTGATGCAATTCTTCTGAAATAATTGTAGAGAATGCTCACTTTTCTTATCATGTGAAAACATGTGTCTTGGGTTGGAGTAGCAGAAGAAACACTGACTGATGAAGTGTGTAATGGAAGGTATCAGAGAGGCTTAGTGGGCCGGCTGTATCTGTATGAGATCAGGTAAGAGCAGGGTACAGCAGGGCAGGCATTTTTTAAGCAAGAGTGAACACGCCTAGAGGGTATCTCACACAGCTGAAAATTCAATTTACTCAAATTCCTAGGATTAAGAACATGTTTTCCAAACTGATAGAGATCCTTATTGCTATTGATAAAATGTTTTAGTGTGTTTTCATCCTCTGTCATACATTCCTCTGCAACTACTGAGGTGTTGCATCATATTTGTGGCCCTTTGAATCTCAATGCCCTCAGGGTTTTAGTGTTGAACCTTGGGCAGCTTTATTTATCGTGTCTACATAGAGCCAAAAATCCACACAAGCTTTGACTATTTTGAAGACTAATGTCCACTGTGTATTAGAATTCTCTGTAGAAAAGGAGTTTCTTTGAAGCAGGGCCTTTTGATCCACATTCCCACCCTTTAAAAAGGTTCTTAAAGGGTTATTGCTAGTGTTGTCAGATCCTGGATGTGATTTTTGAACGTGTGGAAACATTTTTAACCCTAATAAAACCCTAGGCTTATTAAGTTTGAGAAATACATGTAAACATGGTTCAAATAATGTACTTCAATAATTCTAGGATCCATATACACAGTAGGGAACACTTAAAGCCCGCCACGTAATTTTCAGTTATAAGTTATTTAAACAAACAGTTTATTTTTATCACTCTATGACTGTTTCATTGATAGGTTTGGTTGGAAACAAAAGGGTTACATCCTTGAAACAGCCAGCGAAAAACTGTTCAGTCAGAATTTTCTTTCCCATCATATCAAGGTACACAGAGCCAAGCGAGCTCTTCCATTGATTAGGACTTGAGGAGCTGAACTGAAGGTCTAAGGTGTTAGACTAACCACTAAATAATTAGGAAGTGACAGTGGAATCAACCAACCGTGATTGGATTTACAATAAGTGGGACCAATTGCATGAGAAAAAATGTCCCTCTAGGCCTTCTGAAAGTTCTAGATACTTCACTGACTGCAAGTAGCCTGACTTATGTGTTTCAGTCATATGCTAGAAATGGAAGACAGCAGCAGCTCTATGCCAGGACTCTTTACTGAAGGAGTCACTGTTATGTCATGTTATGTACTTT